TCAAACACTATCAATATCTGTATCATTACTAACCTAGACAACATGCTACAGTCAAACACTATCAATATCTGTATCATTACTAACCTAGACAACATACAACAGTCAAACACTATCAATATCTGTATTATCACTAACCTAGACAACATGCTACAGTCAAACACTATCAATATATGTATCATTACTAACCTAGACAACATGCTACAGTCAAACATTGTCTATATGTATTATTACCTACCTCTACTACATACTACAGTCAAACACTAAAAAAAATTTTTGCCGAAAGGAATATCAAATCATGACTAATTTTATTTACCACACCGTGGTTACTTGTGGCTATTTACCACCCTTACCACGCCGGTGGTAAATAGCCACTGCCTATGATAATAGGTTGACATCACGAGGAAGAAACAAAACTGGCCAAAATATAACAATCCAACTGAAATGGACATGAAGCACGTGAAATGTACATAGCCTGACATCAGCTGAGGAAAATATAATTAGACATCTTTTGTCCAAATTACAATACTAAGAAATGCGCGCCTTTTTGAAATCCTTTGTCAAAAGAGATCACGCCGAAAGCAGCCATTGTAATTTGACCTTTACGAGAATTTTCAGGAAAAAAATCCCCAAACTTTTCAGTTCAGTCACTAACACCTCAAAAATCTGAATTTACGTCATTACATTACATCGCATACATTTATTTCAATTGAAGTGTTTCTACCTTGACATTTCAAAAAGTGAACCTTCCTCCATGGCTCCTATTTATTAAACGTGTATTTATACCACACTTCAGTAGAATGTTAGATATTGGCGGTTAGTCTATCACATTCCTCACTCTGACGATTTCTCACTCTGACCATAACTAAACCATTTAAATTCCGAAAACTTGGCGTTTTCTCCATGATCATCTTTCAATTAATCGTTGATGCCAGTTTAACTTAATTGAAAAAGAAAAAAAATCAGCATCGTGCATAGCTGTTGCAGGAAAAGGTGATAGGATTTTGTGGCATTTTGAATGATATTTATATAGTCATTCGGCGTTACAATAGATTCCACTCTTATTCTTTCTTTAATTAATCCAAAATCGTTATCATTTGCTAAGCGGGTATGGCCTCTTACTAACATTTTATGATTGAGTTCTTTGTAAATGTCCCTCAGCCAAGGAAATAAATAATAACACTTTTTGAGCCAGTTCGTCGTTGTTTTAGAACCTTCAAGAGGTAATGGGGAACATCTGCTCCACCTTTTTTGCCACTGTTTCATCATAATATGCTGATATAAATGATATCATCTTCAGAGATGTGGTCATGTATGCCAAAATTAATAACGTTGAATTAACGACACGTGTAAAGTTAATTAATATTTCAATATTGTTGATAGTCGAAAGAATATATAACAATTTTATCATCAGAAAATGGTATCTGATTAAACATTCCGTTTGTATTCTTAAATTTGTGAGAACTATACACCAAAATCTAGAGAAATGTGTGTTCTTTAACGTATCCGAAAGTTTTAAACGACAAAATATTTTAAAACATTAAGTAAGGTTGTTGTATGTTCGTTATACTTTTTGAAAGCTGTTAGAAAACTACTGTACGGATTTGAGTAAAATAAACGCCTAACTGTAGAGGAATATGTCTCCTACGTTTTCTAAAGATTTCAACTGATAATATCGAGCCATTATAAAGCCAGGTTAAACTGCTTAATTAACAATTAGTTCTCTACGTTTTTTAATTAACCTTTTAAAACAAATTCAGTTTGATCAAGAAGATACATAGATATTAATAGCATACTTTTGAAATATTTTTAGGTACAAAAAAGAGGAATGTCCCTCTAACACATTTGACCACGATATTCTAGTCATTTTCCCGTTATAGCTCGCTTTCTAGAATGAGATTTTTCTCGTTGTCTTCATCACCACCGACAACAATAATGTGCTACAAGTGTCGGTTCTCGGACACAAAAATGGTGTATTCTTCCACAAATATCTGGCGATAAATCCATTGTTTCAAAGAACCATCGTACCTTTCACCAGCAGTCTATATCTTCAAAACTACTCCAGGCTCCAAGATCTGTATGAGTTATTCTTGTAATATTCAGATGAGATTGTAGATAACGACGTCTGGGATTATCCTTATAAGAAAATGAGACTTTTGAGGTTTTAACGATTCACTTTGATTCTTTATTTTTTTAAAGACAGATTCAGCCGCTTTGGTTGATGTGAGTTTTTTCTCTCTTCTGTCAAAGGGTGTTGTATTTTGGTCATCCGAGGAGCCCCCTAAACGTCGTATACGTGATTTGACAATCATATAAGAAAGCAACCTTGATAAACTTAAACTAGATCACCAGATTTTAATGTGATAAAATAATTTCTTTCAAATTCTAATTTGTTTCTTTTCATTGATTCTAGTTATTAGGTTGTGTTATTTTGGGAAGTATTGATGACATTAATATGTTGGTATTATTAGGTTGTTTAAATTCTAACCTCTTTATATAGTACATGTAAAATGTAGGATGTCCACTTGGGGTCACTCGTTAAAGCGATCGGTAGACAAGCGACGGAAGCAAATGTGAACCACAACTACAGCTGTTTCCCCCAGAAAATCTGTGAGGCTGTTAGTAGATCAGAATCTTAAGAGTGCTGACGAACTTAGCTTAAGAATGGACAGATCAGCCAGAAAATAGTTCGTCTAAGATTCCCATTGAATTGCGTCGTTGGCCTCCGTAGCGATTATACTCTGTAGTTTGATAAAGTCAACTTCAAATTTAAAACTAATAAAACAAAGGCTTACTCTCAATACAAAACAAAAGGCAGCTTTACAATCTAGAACGCTTTTTAGTACGTTCATTAAAGTAGAGAGTCCGTATTCAAATAATTTATCAATAGTTCAATAGTCGATCTATTATAGAATCTTATATCCACATAGTATATTTATATTATTAATATCGTATTGTTATATCTCTATATTGTATATTATATTGTGTATATTTAATTATCAGACTGATAAACATTAAAGGAAGAAGTTCACCTTACGGTTGATCAATCTTACCTCATACTTTTTTTTTATGCTAGTAGTAGTGTTCACCGTCGAAATCTGAGACTTCAAATCCATGTGTGACCAGAATTTAAAAAGTTTAAATGACGACTCTTCTTTTCTTCTCGAGATAAACAGAAAATATATTTCAGGTATATTTTAAGGAATTATGCGATTTACGAGCAGTTCCAGTAATTCTAGAGACTATTTACATATATTCAAGGCCCAAATCAACACCCAAAAATGGCGAATCATGGCCTTTAATGGCTCTTTGCAAAAAAACATTACAATATTATCTTATCAATTTATTGAAACAGAAACCACATAACATCCAATCAATTTAAAAATCTAAAAAAAATTATTTTATAATTATGACGTGGAACTCACATGGTTAAATAAATGTATAAATTGCATAAACAACTCAGAAACACATACGTTGATCAAGAATATTTGAAAGATGCTGTCATCTGTTACTATCATAGTCTTCTGTTTCTGTGTTATGTTCGCTGAAGGAACTACTGATGGTAAGTCAGTATATCTTATTTAACAATTAGTTCTTAGCATTTTCAAGGGTATCAAAAGATATTTTCTTGTTTTTGCTATGATTGTAACCCGCTTTCCCCCTGTCAGTGATATAGGTAAGAGGGGCTGATATGGAAAAGCGTCTAGTCGTTCGGATGGGACAAACCGTGTGCTACAGACTGTGCACGTTAAAGATCCATCGACAGTTGGAAATAAAAAAAAGGAGGCTAATGCCACTGTCCTCGCAAAATTTCCCCCATTTTACTCTGCATAGCGTTGCCTGTCTTCATTAGCCCACATGGTCCAGAAAAGTAGGAAGTAAAACTCCATTCATTTCATTTCATTTACTTGATGAAGATGAGAATTTGTTTCTTTTAATTGTGGTCCATGCAATTCTACTAAAACTAAGTGTTTGATGACGTCACTAATCGCGAAAGGCCTTATGTAATAAAGCAAATTTCGCGATTATGACTTCATTAAACATTTATTGTAGGAATTGTGGAATTTCAGAAACCACAGACGTCTGACGGAAAATGTTATGGTGCAAATTGATGCCATCAGTGTCCCCGATACGCATACAAAATTAGAAAACCTCCCTACAATCCCTTTGAGACTAGTAATGAAATGGTTGGTGCATTTTCCTCGCGAACTTTGATAAATTGATGATACTGAAAACATGTCTGCGGGTAACAATAACTGGACACTAAGATTGACATAAAATTAAAACAGGTTGTCTGGAGATCAACGCAATCAACAACAGTAAACCATTCATCTCAAAATATTGACCGACTTAACGCAGCTGGGATCAATTGGATGGATGCTTTATCATTTCCAACCTTATTAAAATCGCCATCCGATCTTTAATGAAGAATTGAGTAACCGATTTAAATCTTGGTCTTATCAATGTTGAATGCTGTTTTTTTAAGAATTGGTCGGAGAGAAATTTGTGTCTTGCCCATGGTAAATTATTCCATCCTAGTCCTGAACATTTAGTAGACTCTTCACCAAAATTTAAATAACATTTCATTAATCATATTTTTTGTCATTACAGAGAAACTGGAAGAGATCGTCAACAGATATAATCTTTCACGTGCTAATGGTGGATATGGGGAAGAAAATATCGATCGCCACTCGAACATGATGACTGCAAAATTTAATATTGACGGGTAATTTAACCTTTTGATAAAGTGTTGGTTTCTGTGGGATACATTGACTTCTTTGTTTCTTGTCTCTTTTTTTCGTTTTCTTTTTGTGGCTTGGCCACGAATACTTTATCGGTATGGTGCTATCCCCATTGTTGACGCAGTTACCTTAACATTACAGTGAAGAAAAAACTCTGAGTGTAGTGAAGAATTGGTTACTATTATATACTGGTGAAACTGATTTTTACTGGGTGAAAGCTGAAACAGTTCAAATTGTATTACATTATGTGGATGGAAACACTCCAATAAAGGTTAGGGTTTACAATAGGTTCCAAAGTTTATTTTATTGAAATTTCTGGACGACCAACCAGATAAGTACAGATATCTGTACAGATAACTCGCCAGCAGTAACATCGATATAATTTTATTGTTTTAATTTCAAAGGTAACCCAACTTCATGATGATGGTAAACTGAGCGTACAGTATTTAGGTAGTTTATCTGATAAAGTATGTTCAGCTCTTAATTGTCAATTTGAAATTATTCAACCAGTCGGTGCAGTCATGAAGAAGGAACTGTTGGATGTAACTGGTTGGGCTGTGTTGAACACCATTACTTCTCCGTATTGTAAGTAATTTACTAAAAAAAACTTTAACATGAAATAGATTTAAGCTTTTCTGATAAAAATTATACTAACGAAGATCGGCAACGCTCACTAATCATAAATTCAAGACTAGAATGCTGCTAGTTAGCCTGGTATATCAAATGATAATTAACAAAATAATTCCGGTTGTTTCCGTTTATATGACCCTAACAAGGTGCTGTAATCGCGGGGTTCGTGGTTGTCCTCGTCATCTCGTACATTTTGGTTATGGCCAGACTTGGTTTAAGGAACTCCTTCTTCGGGTCCTTTCTACAATAATGTCATGTGGCGTATTAATGCATTTCTCATCTTTTCATCTTTCTCTTTTAAGATATTTACTTTCTCCAGAACCCCCGAGTGATTTATCTTATCATAGACAAGTCTGGTAGATTTTCTCGGAAATTCAAACGGTATTCATAAACATCAACATGCATACATACACTTTCTCACGATATTCAACTGCATATACAGTTAGCCCCCTTTTTATACGCCCACACGTAAGATGGGCGTATATTGTAATCACCCCGTCGGTTCGTCGGTCCGTCCGTTCACATTTGGCTTGTGCTCACTCTACAGGCTACAGTTCTTTATGGATTCTTTTGATTTTTATTATACGCCCACACGTAAGATGGGCGTATATTGTAATCACCCCGTCGGTCCGTCGGTCCGTCCGTCCGTCCGTTCACATTTGGCTCGTGCTCACTCTACAGGCTACAGTTCTTTATGGATTCTTTTGATTTTTATTATACGCCCACACGTAAGATGGGCGTATATTGTAATCACCCCGTCGGTCCGTCCGTCCGTTCACATTTGGCTCGTGCTCACTCTACAGGCTACAGTTCTTTATGGATTCTTTTGATTTTTATTTTGTATGTCAATGTTGTTATGAAGATGATCCCTATTGATTTTCGTGATGATCGGATAATTTTTCACCGAAATATCGTGTCTGACTTGACGTTTTTCTCTATTAGCTATATTGTGCAACTCGTGCTCACTCTACAGGCTACAATTTTTTACAGATTCTTTTGATTTTTATTTTGTGTGTCAATGTCATTATGAAGATGATCCCTATTGATTTTCGTGATGATCGGATAATTTTTCACCGAAATATCGTGTCTGACTTGACGTTTTTCTCTATTAGCTATATTGTGCAACTCGTGCTCACTCTACAGGCTACAATTCTTTACAGATTCTTTTGATTTTTATTTTGTGTGTCAATGTCATTATGAAGATGATCCCTATTGATTTTCGTGATGATCGGATAATATTTCACCGAAATATCGTGTCTGACTTGACATTGACTTTGTTAAAATGCGTGGAAATAGTTTGTGAGCAGGATTGAAGCTACAGTTTTCAACCGATTCTGATGAAACTTGTTGTGATCATTGGAATTGATAAGATCTCGTACAAGTTCTAACTTGATGCATTTTTGATGTACGGTTTTCGAGTTATTGCCCTTGACTTTGTAAAAACGCGTCAAAATTTATTCGTGAGCACAATAGAAGCTACAGTTTTCAACCGATTCTGATGAAACTTGGTGTGATCATTGATCACAGTTTTCAACCGATTCTGATGAAACTTGGTGTGATCATTGGAATTGATAAGATCTCAGACAAGTTCTAACAAGAGATATTTTTGATGAACATTTTTTGAGTTATTGCCCTTGACTTTGTAAACATGCATCAAAAGTTGTTTTTTGCCTTGATATTAGAGCTGTGTGATTTAATTGTTTGTTGTATTTGGGTTATTGATATTGATTTTAAAAAATTTTGTGGAATTATTCAGCATAAATAATTTCTTCAATATAAGAAAATTTGTACTTTAGTCACTAAAGACTGTTTTATCATTTCTGACAGCTGCCAGTGGGCGTATGTTACCTTGCAACGCAAGCTATCTTTCTACTTCTCAACACTATCAATTTCCACATTAAAGCTGTTATTATATCATCATCAGATTTTTTGAGATTGTAAAACTTCATTTTATATTCCATTAATTAATTAATTACCGATAAATTAGCTGTTGATGCAACTGACATGCCTTCTAAAAATAGGGGGGTGGAGGGGGGGGGGGACTAAAAACAACAGCTGATAGGTTTGATTTGAATAAGTCATAAAGGAAAGTTGAAACTCTCTCTCCTGCTATATCTCAAAGTATCTCAAGTTAGCTCTATTATTATAATCCCTTCCCTATTTTTATCATCTCTCGGATTTTCACCAATTTTAGACACAATTTCAGACACATTTTTAGACACAATTATAGAATAATAGTTTCAAAAATTCTTTTTTGTTCAATAGATTTTTTCCAACCAAAGAGCACTGAAGTACATTCAGGGGAACAATTACCGTTAGTATTCACATATTCCAGCTTGTATAAAGTTGCTATTATATGATTACACCATCTACTTACCCCTGTCATACAGAAACACCATGCTGTTATTATATTTCAATTCAGTTTTGTGGCAATCCACCACTCCTTTTCCTCATGTATAACATGGAAGCTCTTGCAGAACAGAACAAACTTTGGAAATTATAAGTTTTGTACGAAATTATTTCTCCGACAAAACCACTATCAAAATAGCTATATGCTTTCTGATATTTGAATTTGCTTCTACATGTATACTCCTGGCATTTAAAATATATACAAAAGTAATTTCTACATCGTTTGCTTGAATCTTTCGGGGGTCAGTTATATTTATTTCTTATATTCGGTATGTAAACGTTATATTTGCTCTTCCCTGGATAATATAATTGGCACAGACTGATATCACACTGAATCTTTTAGATCAGAGATACTCATCTGGTGGCGAGCGCGCCATTTTTTGCCGCATCCGCGTATGCAAATTTGTTTTGAGCAAAAAAGACGGAATTATTTTGAGCAATCCCAAACAACTGGCACTTCAGCTTTTTTACTTGAGAATTACAAGGACCACATGATCACGTGACAAAATTGACACAGTTCCGGTAAATAATATCTGCCATTCATTACCGTGATAATGCTGCAGAGCGATATGGTAGACCGTTTAGTCTTCGAATGAACATAAAATTTATATTCGCAAACTTGGCGAATCAGTGGACCTAGGCTACTTTGTGTCTATATAACTATAAAACTAAGTAATTATTGAAAAATGCTCTAAATTTTGCAGTGTATTTCAATAAAGTTGCCTAATGTAATTTTATGGTTACTTTCTTAATTTTATGTATTTATGGGATTCTACTCTTTTAGCATAGTTTGAGAGGTGATATTCCTTTAGATAAAATCTTGTTTTCCCATTTAGTTTTTGAGGACTTATTAATGAATCTATATAATACTAGACTCTTGATAAATCAATACGCTTTAACATAATAATTATTAGCAATAATATATGTTCTTTCTTTTCAGTGACAGACAAGAGTGGTCTTGTTTTTACACACGACGGTGAACTGAGATGCCGCCTGGATTAGCAAAAATTGTTTTTCAATCATTGTTTTCAAAATATAACATATACACGTTCATATCTCATTGTCTTTTATTGGAAGGTTTTAATTTTTAGCCTTGTATTAAGACCTATTTAAACGGGAAGACCTTCAATTTCAGACAAGCTTATTTCCCGTCTTATTTCCATTCAACCCTAAATCATATATAGCCTATAGACCTACCTGGTGTTTTGAAATTAGAGACCCCCCCCCCCCCCCCCTCTCCACAGCCTAAACTAAAATAGATATGGACAAAAAATAAAGTGATTCTGAACGGGTATATAATTCTCACTGGGTATCTTATACTTTCTGTGACTTCCATCTGCCTATACTCCTTCTTTCTTAAGGGTATCATTTCAGAAAATGGTCCAAAGATCATTGAAATATTTTACTTTATCATGTAAAACCTCAACAAATAATTTGTATACACCCCTGTTCTTGAGAACGCGTTCAATATTTATCTCGTAATCACTTCAGAAGGCACAGCTCTTGACAGATTTTGACGCAATTTGGTGTGAGTGTTAACACCCAAAGTTGAACCCTATTGAAAATCAGAAAAATTGAAAATATTAAGTAGGAGTTATTGCCCTTGTTCTTGAAAACTTGTTCAATTTATAGCTCGTAAACATTCTAGAAGGCTCAATTCTTAAGAGATTTTGACGAAACTTTGTGAAATTGTTTTTTTTTATCACCCATGGATGAACCCTATCGAAAATTAAAAAAAAATCGAAAAATGTTTCATAGGAGTTATTGCTCTCGTTCTTGAAAACGTTTTCAAATTTTAGCTCTTAAACACTAAAAGGTGTGATTCTTGCCGGATTTTGACAAAACGTGGTTTTATTATTCAGTACCGCGCTGGAGGTTTAATATTTGCACGAGTTTTCACGAGCTTAATATTGAACACGTTTTCAAGAAAAAGGGCAATAACCAATACTCAATATTATTCAGTATTGTCCCAAAAATTTCAAAAGAAATGTATGACTGAAGGTTGAATATTTCATACTGGTAATTGTTACTGGACTGCTAAATATTTTTATTCAAAATTAAAGCTACATAAAGCATGGAATACGTCCACATATTCGCAATGGTCTGATTGTAGGCTACATTTTGGAGAAGTCATCGCTTCCTTTGGTCATTTTTGGCAATGACGTAAAGGGCAAATATCAGTTGTGGGAAAAGTTAATAATGGGCCTTATTATTAATTGGTTGCATTTTATGCAGCCTTATATGCATAAAGCCTATGGTAAACGAACGATGTGTCATATTTTCATATTACAAAAGCGTCCAGATTGTTACACTGACCCACATTTTAAAATGAACGGTTATGTCGTGCACATCGCGTAGTCGATTCGTACAGATTTGATAAAATTGCGTTTGATATTATATCTCGAAAAGAAATAAATCTTTAATCTGTAACTGATAACCCAGTAACGGAACGGTATAATTTTGTCTTTATCATTTCATCAGAAAATGTAATTCAGAGTTGTATAAACTTCATGCAGTTAGTTACATTTAACACTTATGCGTTTTGTAATTAATGTCATGAAAGAAAATGTACGGTATCTTCAAAATAAGATCGCGGTCTTTTTGAAGTATTTGTTTACTTCTGTCAAATTTATCAGTTTTTTCTGGCTTTATTCGTTGCCTTATTTCCCAAAATGGATAACACAACAAAGAATGTCTTCAGGGAAACTATATTTTCTGTCATAAGCAACAAGTCTGCTCTACCTTTTGGGGATGAATGCTCAGTCGATTTTTTCCAAAGTGTTGCCAGTAAGCCTGCCGAATTTCAAAGTGGATCTAACAAGAAAGTGAATTACTCCATTGAAGGACTCTCATATCTAGATCAATATTTAGGAAAAGAACTCTTCAACCCAAATCAAAATATCCTTGTTGTCAGGAGAGGCCAACCATATCCTGTACAAGAACTAACAGCAACAGAGGACAAATCTAGTAATGTTGATGAAATTGATGTGAACTCACCGCAGAGGAAAATATCAAAACTCAATACAGACAGTAATCAAAACAATATAAATGAAAGGAAGTCAGAGGATATTTATGACACTTGTGGATCCCCATTGAAGTTACAGACATATGCTGATTTATCGACCTGTGATTCCCCATCTTATGCATCTCCTGCATTTGTGAAAAGATCCAGCACTCACTACTATATTCCAGTTGGGTTGTCATCTCTAACTAGCAGGCAACTCATTTCTTTATTCATTGTTAATTACACAGAGCTTATGTCCGCATCAGTTGCAGCCTTTTCACGACTTCCTTCCCTTTGGATTTTATGTGATAAGAATGATATCAAATCTTCAGTTTTGATGGGAGCTCAGCCTGTGTTATCTAACAGTGGAGGAGATAAACAATGGGGTGTAAAGTTAACAACAGTTACTCAGGTTGAAACAGAAGATATTCTTGCCACAAGCAAAATAAATAAAATATTCAACCAGAAAATTCATGAAAATAAATGTTTTGCCAGGTATGATTTGGTCAAACCAACAGCATCGTCTATAGATGACTTTACTGCTTATCAAGGTTCACTGTCTCTAGAATTTCAGTGGAAAAATGGAACACAGCTGCTACAGAAGCCTGAATATCACTCTGAAGCTATCATTAAGGCATCAGTACACTCTGGTAAGTGGTTTTTAGACAAACGTTAACCCAATTGATTTGTACACTGAAGTTTTTGCTCTCTTATTTGAGGTGTCACTGATACCACTTTCAGAATTTTAACAATTTAAATCTGTTTCACGTCGCATTTTGTGATTCAATATTTCCTATGACTAGCAAAAATTAAAGTTTATCATGACAAATCGTGAACACTAACATTATTCAAAGTTATTCTTTCTAGTCTCTAGACCATATTCCATATTTTTAGAATTTGTTAAAAAAACACAAACTTTTTATTTATATGTTTGATATTGTAGTTCTTGTGGGCCCTATTGCTTTATCATAGTATGCTATCAAATATGACATAAGCTTATTGTATTATAATAAGATTGAAAATGCAATAAAATTTGATGTTTGAGTTTTTAACTCACTGGTCAATAATCATCATTATATTTTTAGGAGACATTAGAAGTCCTGCTATTGGATTGTTTGAAGAATTAACTATATTGAAGAGCCTTATGACAGCTATCACAACCAGTGAAATCAATTGGGCAGCATCTAAAGATCAAGCTCCACTACTAGATATGGTTAAAGAATTGATAGAAAATACCAAACTAGGAGATACTGGTAGTTTCAAAAAACTTCATAGTGAAGACATGGAAAAAAATCCTTCTGATCAGTTTAAATTGAAAGAACGTCTGGATTATGATTTTACTGATCATTTGTGGAAGATTTTGATCACCTGTTCTTCCTACAGTGATTTAACCACCAGTTTGAATTATATTTTCAAAGCTTTGGGTAAAGGAGAATTTCAACCAGCAGTACATAAAAAGAACAAAACCATGATGGCTCAGTACATACGTGATTCTTATACTGGGCGCTTGATCATACCACACTTAGGGGGAATGTTTCCTTTAAAATTAGTTGTAGAAATGGGCATAGAGAAACTACGCTGTGACTACCTTCATGCATTTGTCTCCCAAGATTTGACCACCCCTAGTCATCTCGACTACTTCTTACAAGTTGACGTGGATTTAGAAGAAAAGATTTGCCGCATGGAAAAAATGCAATATTCCCTTGAAATGGTGGTAATGATTCAATTATTTTTCCGTCTCCCATACTCCATTCTTGGAACTTGTGCTCGGAAAATGTTAAAGCATTTTCAAAGCAATGAAATCAACGATTCTGAAATTTTTGAATTTCCTGTACAGACCAAAACAGTGCTGCCTGTTGTCAAAGAATCTCAACCTTCTTTGTGGAGTTTGACCGTGGAGAAAAAAGTGGGCAATTTATCTGAGCAAAAAGTTTGGACCTTGACTACCAATCAACCTTTCATTCATTTGACAAAAGATTTAGATGAGAGGGAAGAAAAGAAAGATGATGAAAAGTCGCATTTCTATTTAACATACCGGGATGATCATATATCTATTACTAATAACACGGTTGATTCTTCCGAATAGGCTCAGCTAGATGTCACTTTCAAACTAGTCTATGATTTTGAATTGATTGCTAATTGCTATTAGTGCTATTATTATGTTAGGATATTCTATAGCTGTTGTGAATTACTATAAACATGTATATCAATATAAGCGTACAATAGTAAAATATTTTTATCATGTCCTACCAGCTCGTAATCTCTCCTTATATTGTTAAAATAGTGCTCAATAGGTAGACTGATTAAGAAGTATAAGCTTATTCAAAATGAAGTAAAAAAAACCAGTAAAACTAGCACATTTTGATGTGAACTGAAACAGATGTCAATATCTACTTGTGTATATAATTAAACTATGTACAATTTAACTATTTCAATGAGGTATTTACACAAATTTGATTTTTGGCCTGTTGGTAAGAACTTACTGTTCAGTTTTTGAATAAGTTGATTTTTTGAAAAGGTTGACAAGTGTTTTTGATTGAAAAGGTTAGTGATCTAGAGTAGATTGGTTTTCTGGACTAGATTATTTTCAAACAGAGTTTGGAAAAGCATTGGTTTCTAGCTATAGAGGACAGATTTCAACAAAATAATTAATTATCATAAGGTATAGCCTATTGAGAACCAAATGAAAGTTTTACTGAAGTGTAGACTAATTTTTAAAAGCAATTAGCTGCCAATCGGCATCTATTACCTTGCCTGTCAAATTATCTTCATAAATATCATAACTTCATGTATATAAACCATAAGTGTCATTCAAATCTGGTATTGATATGCTTATGTAATATATTTTTAGCTGTTGAGTATGCTAGTCAACTGCCCAGTTCTGTAATGTCAATCCTGGTTTGCAATGTCAGGCCCAAATCGGCAATGCCAATCCCTGTTTGCTATGTCAGGTCCAAATCGCCAATATGAATCCCTGTTGTATAGTCAATCCCTGTATGCAATGTCAATCCCTGTATGTGGTGCAAATAAAGCTAAGAGTATCCATCAGTTAAAATGAAAGGCAAGAAACTGGCCAGTAGCCACAGGACTTGCAAGAAAAGCTCTTTCTAATATTTTTTAATAGCTACTTGGTTCCATATCCTGAATGTTATTATCACTGTAAACTGTATTGGTATTTAATGTAATGTATTAAACTTATTTATCTTGTGTTTGTATACTTATATCAAGAGAGGCCACACTGGACTGAGACTATTTTTTTTATTAAGGCAATTAGAAAATGTACTTGGTCACCAGTAGATGTGAAGAAAATGGGTGAAAAAGACCCTCAAAAAATAAAAAAACCATAATGCAGTAACCGCTTCTCACAACCACATAGTGCTGTTACAAACTATACATGGATAATGTTTCAATTGAAACCTTGGTTGGTAGGGTGTTCACTGGAGATCTCACTTATTAGGTTCTTACTCTACATATATCACAAAGAGAACTCCCTCAATGCATTTTTATCACAAAGACTTAAAAGGTGATCAGGTTTTCAATCTTTGCAACAAAAATATAACAGATTGCACTGGAAAAAATACTCCTGGGAATATGGTAGTGGAAACAAATAGGAGCCCAAAGTTTATTGTAAAATTGAAACTAAAAAATACCAATCACTTAAAGGGAAATTCCGCTTTTTTTGAAGGTCAAAAATTTTTTTTGCTCAAATTTGTGAAACTTTACACCAACTATAGAAATGTGTCCCTTAACATATCTGAAAGTTTAACTAAAAAAATCCAGCCAATAAGTTTTTAATGCCAAATCTATTCATTATGATTTTTGCAAGTTGTTATAAAACTACTGTGCGGATTTAAGCAAAATAAATGTCAAATTGTAGACAAATGTGTTTCCTACGTATTCTAAAAGTTTTAACGAATAATATTGAGCCATTATACAGCCAAACACTAAAACTTGGTAAAACTGCTTAATTAACAGTTAGTACTGTTCGTTTTTAATTAACCCTTATAAAACAAAATCAGTAGATACAGATATAAATAGCATACTTTAGAAATATTTTCAGGTATAATTAATGACATTTTTTATAATGAAAATGTTTTACAAAAAAAAAACGAAAGAAAATTTGATTAGGAGGGCTACTTCACCCCAGTCCCACACCCTTATCTCTACAACTACAAAGACGACCCTTTATGTCAGATTAGATTCATGTCATAATTACTCTTGGTAAATCACACTTTTTTAATTATAGGACAATATTACATTTATAAGCATATACAAGTAGTTGTTGAACATTGATTAGGGTATATACTGTATATACATTCTTTAAATACATACATATAGTATAGCTAATATAAACACAAGGGTATAATCCAGCAGAGATATTAATGCATTTCAAAACATAAACAAAAACAGTTTATTTTGATCATCTTTACAATGTCAAGCTATTACGAATTGTGTCTAATACCTTGACTGCAGTAGCAACCTTTGTTGTATTACAGAATGAAGTGACGAAGCCCAAGACATAAACATAGTAAACATTACGATTTACAGTTTACTTTTGAGGGTTCGAATTTGCTAGCATACAATCCAATCAAATTCTGTAATACATGAAAAGTGGCTAATGCAGTCAAGGTATTAAATGCAGTTCGTCATAGCTTGACATTGTGAAGAGGAAGAATGAATAGTAACTAGTGTCGTATAAACCTAACTTATATTGTATGCATAACAAACTTTCCTACCTCAAAAAGAGAGTGGACCACAGCCATATACGCCCACCACGGCATGTGGGTGGCAAATATTCAAGATTTTGGGAGAAGGGCAATAACTCTGCTTCTAACGGTCGAAAATAGCTCAAATTCGAACCTGATCTTCGTTTCATGAATACGTATACACATACCGAATTTCATTTGATTCCATCACAAAACTCTAGTTTTTAGAGCGTTTACAAGCAAATATGTTGACGGACTAACGGACAGTGGTGCCGACAATATATGTCTACATAGATGTGGCGTATAATAAAATGGATTGTTTATGTTTTGATATGAATATCTTAGCTCAACCATAGAACAAAATGTCTATTCTGTATTCTGTACAACAATTAACCATCAGATTTGACAGTTTCTTTGAGTCTGTATATTTATTTTGATTTTATTCAATTAACAACATATTAAAAGTGTCAAGTGTTAGGGTGTCAAGTGTGAGTGCTCTCCCATTGGCCTGTAAAAATGAATGAATCTTACATAAAAATTTCATGGAAAATTGGTAAGGAAACACTTTTTTCAAAGCGGCAACTAATTTGTATTATATGAATAACAGAAAACCTGTATGTTATGTTTGGATTTTTGTTTGAATAAATTCATAAAAGTGGAATGAGTATGTCTGAAACTTAACATTAAAGACATATCACCAAATATCTCACATAATATGCTTATAATACATTATAATATCATACTCTTTTTAAGTCCTATAACATTATGTTTAGGATATTCAACCATTTATTTACACTCAGTGCTCAAAGTTGAAATTGTCCGTCATCATCAAACTTTTGTTGGCCAAGTTTAAACAAAATTTTTTGAGAGCCACTTAGAAGTATTGTTTAAAATATTTTATAAATCCAGGATTTCTATTTTATTTCTTTAGCAATGTGTACAATACATAACCAATTTCTTTCAAATTGTCTCCTAATGTCTGAGCAAAGTAAAGAGTTTTATGAATTTTTCCCTATTATTTTTATGAGAATTTGAATAGTAGTCTTAAAATTGTAGTGTAAGAATGTGTTTGCGTTGATAAAAATGTAAACATAAGTAAAAATTTTGTCTTCAAAATTTTTTTTTACAGAGGACAATTGGTGACTTTTTGGGGTTGAAATTTCTTGGAGAGAAATGTGTTTCTTTTCAATGTAAACTTACAAAAGATTATATTTTTATCAACACAAAGACATTCTAAGACTGACAGTTCTATTTTGTACTACTAAGATTACATTTCAATTCTCCAAAAACTTTTTAATTTGCTAAGACAATAACTTAAAATATGTACATAAATTCTATTTAGTATTAGCGATATTAAGGAGGGTAGGGGGCTAACAAATAATAAAGAGAATATCTGTGGTAAGGAGTATAAATAACATATTTTAATCAAGAAATCACATACACAAGAATGAACATCAAGTATTAAACAAGATTTTAAAATGGTTTTGAATGTCTGTCAAAAAACACAGCTTGATATAAAGAAATATATTCATCCAAACATCTGCTTTACAAGCAAATAGAGCTCAATTTCAGCTTTTGGCATCAGTTTTCACTTGAGAATTAAACAAAAGCACTTAAATACAGTTGTAGCTTTTTATTATCCATAAGCTGTCATCAGTAATAACTATATATGATAATGTTAATAATTAGCAAAGAAGAATTCACTATACATTTTTGTTGATTTGCCAGAAAACTACATGCAAACTAGGAATTCTGAAAAGTGATACATATGGCCGAAATTTAGCCGTATCAGCAGGTAAAGCGAATATTTAGACTTTAAAGACCTTATTCCTGCAAGAGCTCCAGATAAGACAAATGATGCCACATCAAATGATTGAAGCACATAGCTGTACTCAAGCACGATTATGTATCATCTCTTTAATAAATTATATAGTTTCTATAATTTCAGATTTTGTCAATATTCTCCCAGAACTATAGCTAAGTCACCGAGAAATCTATATAGGAACATTATCACAGCTAATATTATATACACTAATAAAGTTGGTATCTTAGGGAGTGACAAACAAAATAACAAGCTATATATGTTATAAGACATGGGAACAAATTTACAAAATCTTTTTTTTTTTCTTTTGTAAATTATCCAACACCAAGGTTCAAGTAGAAATTTAAAAAAAAAAAAAAAAAAATGGCAGATTAAGCTTATGCGATGGCCTTTCGCATGTAAAAAAATAACTAATCAAAACCATTTAAAAATGTGTTTTTTGCGTCAAGATGTTTTTTTGACACAATACTTGAAGAAAATTGAGATATTTAAAAGCTAACCAAAATTATTACAGTTTTTTATACTAGGATTTCTCTTCTTCATTATTTTCATTGCCTTCTTCATCATCTTCATCATCATTCCAACTCTCCTGTACAATAGTAGCCACTTTCTTCTCATATTCACGGCGATTTTCTCGATACAACTGAGCTGCTTCATTATTAGCAGGACTATTTGGATTAGGATCATGTAATAAAGACTGAAATAGAAAATAATACAATAATAATTCTCAATTTTGTTATATATTTGAATTGAATCTTCCAATTTGACATCATTATGTATTTAGGGAGGGCTCGTTCATCCATGGGTATAAGAGGGTACAAGCGGATTCTTACAAGCACTGGCACAGACATCAGAGTTTTTCTACCCTTGAGGTGCAGATTCAAACACACAGCATTTAATCCTCTAGCAAAAAAGAATCCAACTCGCTAATGACTGAGCAATTCTACTGCCATAGGTGATTATAAACAATTTTACACTGTTTTGTCATAGTCAGAAACTGTGCCATCTAGAGTGTTGACAAGCTAAAAATTGACATATTTCCAAGAATCAGGGTAAAAAGTTGATTATTTCTTATCATAAACTACCTTCATAAATTTCATCAAAATCTTCAACGAATTCAACCTTTAAGAGTGCTTGTGAGTAACTGTAGACAAATATAGATGTATTATTTAGTAACACTCTAGTACCTGAATAGAAGTTAAAATAGCTGACACATCATACGTAGGACTCCATCTATTTTGTAAAATATCTAAACATATACTACCATCTGCATACACTGAAATATATAATACAACAAATGATTTTCACTGTTAAAATAGTGCTCAATACATCAATTGTAGAGCGATATAGAAATGTTAAAGCAGAACCCAAAAAACATATTGTTGTTACTCAGAGTTTCACACTAAGTAAACTGACAGACAACTGACCTAATTTTCAGCTAGTGCCTTTACTGAATTTTGACAAGTAAACTCTAAATAACAACATGTTTTTTTAGGTTCTGTTTTAATATTTCTACACTTAAATATATATAAGCTTACATTATGTTTTTAAATACAATACTCTGAACATATATGTTAAAGAACTCAATCCAACTGTGGATTACCATATTTTTTGCAACCCTAATAGAAAAGATTCTTTGAGCTGCTGGCATATGCTGCCGCATCTGCTGAATTATCTGGGATCTGCCATCTGCCATAAAATTTAAGATGTAAAAATTTTGGACACCTCAAACTTTCAACTTTCTGAGGCAAAATTTCAAAATAAGTGGCTACATAGTTGTTTGATAAGAAAAAAATAATTAATGTTTTAGTTTTGATCAGCTTACCATTTGGATGAAACATTTTTGAGACAAATCTAACAGTGGGAGGTTTGTTGGGATATTCTTCTGTGAATTCTATTGTTAACTTAAAAGTTCCATATTCAAAAGGTGTATCAGGGGGTCTGAAAGTAAAATAATGTTAGGTTATTTCAAGAACACTGGTTACTACTGAGACATGTGTCCTAATATCTGGGTATGACCGATAGCATCAATTTGCACCATTCCACATCTGTGGTTCGTGCAATTCCACTAAAACTAAGTGTTTGATGACGTTACTAATCACAAAGGCCTTAATATGTTATAAAGCAAATTTTCGCGATTAGTGACATCATCAAACACTATATTTAGTGGAACCACAGACATCTGATTGAAAATTGGAATGGTGCAAAGTGATGCAATCAGTGTTCCAGTTACATGTAAAAAGATAACTTGCCAGGCAAGGTAATATACACCCACTGGCAGATTTGATTTTAAATGAAAATATTTGGCAGTAAAGTAACAATTACCAGTATGAAATATTCAACCTTCAGACATACATTTCTTTTGAACTTTTTTTTACATAATATATAAGTTTCATCAAAATCTGTCACAAATTGTGCCTTCTAGAATGTTTACAAGCTAAAATCGAAGAACAAGGGCAATAACTCATACTAATTATTTTTCTATCTTTCTGATTTTCAATAAGATTCATCTTTGGGTGATTACAAACACTAACACCAAGTTTCATCAAAATCCGTCAAGAATTGTCCCTTCTAGAGTGTTTACGAGATAAAAATTTAACGCGTTTTCAAGAACAAAGGCAATAACTCATACTTAATATTTTTCGATTCTTTTGATTTTCAATAAGGTTCATCCTTGGGTGATTACGAACACTCATACCAAGTTTTGTCAACATCCATCAAGAATTGTGCCTTGTAGAATGTTTACGAGCTTAAAATTGAACGCGTTTTCAAGAACAAGGGCAATAACTCATACTAATTATTTTTCTATCTTTCTGATTTTCCATAGGATTCATCTTTGGGTGATTACAAACACTAACACCAAGTTTCATCAAAATCCGTCAAGTAGGTAACTCATACTAAATATTTTTCGATTCTTCTGATTTTCAATAGGATTCATCCTTGGGTGATTACGAACACTCATACAAAGTTTTGTCAAATCTGTCAAGAATTGTGTCTTGTAGAGTGTTTACGAGCAAGTGTGGACGGACGGACGTACAGTCGGACGGACATGGGTGACGACAATATACGCCCCTCATTTCATGTGGGCGTATAAAAATTAGAAAATTTCTTTACAATCCCTTTAATTCTAGAAATCGACAGAGGCCAAAAAACATCTTGATAGTCATCACTTTGCAATGGGTTTTATTTTGATGATGTTCCTTAAAGAAGAATATATAGTTATCGATGCTGAGATAACATTCAAAGTTTACAGTAAGAAACTTTTTTTACACGGATAACAACTTAGGTTTATTGGCCAAACCTCTTGGCATTGATCTTTTCCAGATTATCCTTAACAGTAAAATCTACAGTTTTTAACCAATTTGGATGTACATATAGACCCGTTAGCTGCCAAGTGAACGATATTAAACTGATGTCAGAGTTTAGCAGCTGAGCTGACTTTGATGCAGGTGTTTCAGTCACAGTTAACACAACAAATTGCTTACAGGTCTATTATGCATAAACCTTGACTGAAGATCATTCTGACCTGATCATGTAAAATACAGAGTTTATTATATTATTATTTATCATCATTGTAGATATACAACAAAAAAATAGGATTCAGTAAGAAAGTTTCTCATTTCAACAAAAACATGCTGTAATTGGTGCATTTGGACCCGTTCCATTATCTTTTATGAAATGTATAAAACATAACATAAATAAACTATCATATCACATGATTGGTAGTCTAAAGTTAACTTAATAACATCCTATACTGAAACAAACTTTTTGGCAATTCTTCAACCTAATAGCTTGTACTAGCCTTGTTGATATCATGAACTATCATATATATTATGTTGTCTGGTAAAGACAAAGAAATGTTCTATTTGAGCTAAACATCAAAATCTTTCGTGATTTTCATATCTTTATTGTATGTTCATATAGTTTAATTGAAATAGAATATTAATTGAAAATTAAACACATTATTGTAGACTTTAAATATTAAGAGACAAAAGCCATAATATCGTTACTGCCTAAAACATAAAAAATTTGGAAAAAAACAATTAATGTCGCAACTGTCCAAACTACACTCACTATGACCCTTGTATGTGGATATAGGGGTATTGTTACCAAAATATAAGCTTGATAGGTTCCACACAGTGGAATTTTATTGTCTCCTCTTCATCAGAACTCTTTTATAATGAAGGTAGTTCTTGTATATGAAAACACCCTCTCAATCATAATTTTGTTGACAAGATGATCAACAAAATTCTGTAGGCGAAGGAAAGGTGTCATCCGAGAAAATGATAAACTGTTACCCTGACCATAAAACATAAAAGCAGGACTGGTACCTACCCAAATATGACTGCATTCCACAACATAATATTTTTATCAGTTGGAGCTCCACTCACACCAGCAGGAGGATCATCCTGTAACCTACAATATAAAAATTGACATTTCACCTCCCATAAAATAATTTAACTTACTTCACAACCACCATAGTTAAGCTTTGATTATAAGCTGTAAAATTAATTCAATTGGAATCAAAATATCCCAATTCAACATTTAAGTCAAATAATACTGGTACCAGTGCTTAATTTCACTAAGTCATAATATGGCTCTACTTTACAAAGAAAATCACAGGCAGACCTGCAATGATGTAAATAGAAGTATAAACTGTTCTTGATACACACAGATACAAAGGTAAGAAAGCTTAAGGAGTAGTGAGTTTTAAGAATTTGAATTTACATCAGGAATGAAAACTGTCAGCCATCATTTTCATTTGATGGTATGATGAACCATCTCATAGTATCACATGCCCTTCCCTTTTAAGCCACTAGATATTGATATTCACATGTACTAGATGTTTAAGTCTAGAATTACATGAGATGCAAGAAATTTTAAGAAACATTCTTTCACGTCCTTTACTGGTACTGGTAAATAATAGCTTCACACTGAAAAGTCACTACTTGCATTCATTACAGCTGAAGAGAGTTACAGGATATATATTATGTGGATCCCATTTTTTTAGACTGACTTTAGACTGAGAATAGTCCAGATCTTGAGTCTGTTATCTGGCTGGCCTAGATATTTTCTGCCAGGTATTAGAAAGATCAGAATTATCTCGTTCTTATTCAGTATAATAAGGGCAAGGCTGAAAATTTTCAGTGAATTAAAAAATCTCAGAGCAATGTTGTCATGGCCAGGAAAGAACATCAACTTTTTTTTAAAGCTGCATTAGATTCTCTGGAAAGAGATTACTGAATTATAAGTTTCTGATGGAACAGATACCACGATTTAATCTATTAATTTAATATCATTATGGTAATGTCATGTGTTGTTAATTCCTTTAAAAATGGCCAAAGAAATGTCTTTTCTATTTCCATATTCAGTAATATAGTATCCGCTGTCAATATTTGTATGAAAACACTGTTCATCAGCAAATCATGCCACATAGTCTATCGCATAGGCTAGTGGATAGTTAGTACAACATCTTTTGTTCCTAGTGAATTAATACACTAAATAAACTAATTGAGAGATTTGGGGACTAAAAATTTTAATCCATCACCATCGTCTTTGTTAACTGAAGGTTGTAGTCGAGTAAACTCACTTTGTAGTCAAGTCAACTAAATACCACTAATGAGTCCTTGGTATTTCATTAAAAATAGACCTTTTTTTTGTCGAAGTCCAAAATATGGACACAAAGGCTGCTAAGTCCATGAGTACACGAAAAGGTGCTGAAATGATCTCCACATCACTGTAAATGGCAAATCTAGATTACTATCCACCGATGGTTTGAATTCAAATAATTACATGTAACAAGTTTTTCAGAGAAGGAATGCTTTAATACCAAACAAGTAGAAATAGGTTTGTTTATGTTTTATTTGTCATTGACCTATTTCTTATTTTTTCCTTTATATTTGCCTAAATCTGTGGGGCTTTTTTTGTGATGGAATATCAGTTTTAGAGTTATCAAATGTATTGAAATTACCTCTTGAAATCTCTCATTAATCTTCGTCTGCCTGGAGTCGACATTCTGGATAAAAATTAGTCTAACCTCGAAAATCAGACTTACAAATTAGAAACCAGACAAATAAAAAGAAAACAAAACTCTCGTTGTTAGCTTCAGACCAATTAGGCCTTAAATGAATGTACTTCCAACCCTTTTCCAAACCACAATTAATATATCAATTATCAAAATTCACACATCATTAGAATTAGTTTTGTTTTTTAGAGCTCAAAGATGTAAGACGAAATTTATGTTACAAAATAAACCCAAAATGAAAACACAGTTATTGACTACTTCCGCTTCCGGTTCAATAATAATATCTTTACTGGACGTTTCCTACCATATTATTCATTGTAACAAATTACGTCTAAATTCTATTACGTCTTGATTTCATATTTTTAGTTTTTACATCCAAACGATATGAACCATAAGAAAATGACTTTGTATCGATATAAAATGGAAAACGAAAAATCTAACATTGATTCGTAGTTGAAACGTCTCAAAGTATGCACACGAAAATCTCGGTAGTTCTATAATTATTGTGTTAAGATGTTCGGGCTCTATTTACGTTCGATAAAGACTATATTACTGATTCTTACTGATCTTCAGTCTGTTGTAAGTTATAAAGCTTCTAGACCACTTCAAAGAGTGACTTGTTTATAGTAATAAGTGAGTCTGCGTATTGTAGGAGTGTTTGGTCGGTTAATTTTGACTGGGATTCAATTGACTTGATAGGTACTGGGCATAAATTTGATAGGGTCAGATTTCCAGGCTGTGTTCATGACATCATTACTCTGATGGAGAAAAAGTTCTTTCTTATTTCCAGTCTTGAGTGGGTTTTACTGATTCCTCTCGTAATTAATCTTGTGACAAGGTGTAGCATGTCCTTACTGGCGATTTGATCTATTCCTGATAGAATGCGGTCATATGAATGCGGTAGACTTGTATGACGTCAGCTCTTTCCTCCTATATTCTAATGTTGGTAGTCCGAGTGCTCTTAGTCTGTCTGGGTAGCTCTGGTTTCTCAGCTCTTTAGGTAATTTGCTGGCTTGGCGTTGTATATTTTCTAACATTTCAATATCTTTTTTTGAGGTTTGGACTCAAGACTGTTACTGCATATTCAAGTAGAGGTCTAATGAGGGATTTATACAGGGGTGTGAACATTCTGGTTTCACGATTGGTAAACGTTCTTCTAATCATGCCTAGCAGTCGGTTTCCTTTCTTCACGTTGTTGGATATCTGGGTGGTGAATTTTTAGGTTGTCCTGGAAAACTATCCCTAGGTCTTTTTCCTCTGAAGCTTGATTTAAGGGTATTTTGATGTTGTCTTCTGGTAGGTAGTATTGCTGTTATTATAACCAGAGTGGAGAGATCTGCATTTGTCTTGTTAAATTCCATTTGCCATTTGATGTTCCAGTTACAAAGTTTTGTTAAATCGTTTTGAAGAAGTTGGTTGAAACCATATTGGTTGATATTAAGTAAGTTGTTTTCCTCCAGGTGTTTCATGAGGGCATCCCGGATGATGGATTCTATTGTTTTTACTATTATGCTGGTGAGACTTTCTTTTTACTTCCTTTCTTGTATATTGGTGTAATGTTTGCTATTTTCCAATCTTCTGGAAGTGTACCTTCTTCTAATGATTTGGAGAAAATAAATTGTAGGGGCTTAGAAATTACGGTGCTGGTTTCTTTCAGAACTTTAGGGTGCAGGCCATCTGGACCACAGGATTTCAATATATCAAGTTTTTGTAGTTTTTTGTAAATGGTTTGTTCATTGATACTATAATATCGATATCAGGTCTAATCAGAATTCAAAGACTATATAATTTTTTAAGTTGATTAGTCCTATTATGGACACTTTGACAACTGACCTCTCTCTGGGGTAAGGAATCACAAATAAAAGTGCCTATCTAATGATAAATCCTGTAATATGAAGAAAAAACTCTTTTCACGAAAGATGTATTAATGAAGAGACATTGTAAGAAAGTAAAATTCAAAGAAGAAAGATTACCGAGGTTTAAATCTTCAAAGGACTCGGATATAAAGCCTTTTTTGTAAGCTGCTAGGTCTACAAATCTGTGAGAATGACCAAAACTGATGAATATAATACAAGTTTGAGTTTTTAAATATTCCGTTCAATTTTGTGGTCATTCTTAGAGGTAGTATATCTTTAGGATAAAAAAACACTTACCGATTTTAATGTCTCTGTGTTAAAAATAAGACGATAATAGAGTTAGCCAGACAAGAAATCTTTCATTCAAAAGAAAGCATGTTATATTTTCTAGTCGTCAGCAAAATTCAACTTGATAAGTTGCATGCAAAATTAAAATAGTATAGAAATACAAACAGACTAGTGTATTTTGCAGTTACGCCCCTTTAATCAAAAGAGAAATAAAAGAATTTCGAAAAAACAAAACAAGTCTGTTTTGCCTTTCTTGTCTCTTTCAACATTTATTCTACGCCCCACTCCCTAATATTTGCAGCAATTCCAATTTAAAGTCTTTGAATGGCATTTAGCAATTGTGAGTACGATATATAGACACAGCTTTATGGAACAACAATCACTGGTTAAAGTTTTATGCAACGTTTCGACGTGTTTCCCCCGTCGTCCTCAGGCACATAATGAGAAGAAGTGATGGGCAAACTATATATACATTAATGCTTATTATTAAGAACACACAAGAGATAAATGGTTTATTGATACATTACATTAAATTTTAACAGGTACAATAAGAGGTACATAATTCTTAAAATAACATGAAATCTATATGACAGCCTTTGAGGAAAAGACCATGGAAACCTCTCCGATCTCACCAATCTGCTGGTTCCGGAAAGTTGATGACACCTTTGTCATGCTTAGAGCTGAAGATGACCCATCAGCTCTACTTCAGCATCTTAATGCTCAGCATAGGAGGATCAATTTCACCATGGAAGCAGAAGAAGATGACTCTATACCCTTTCTGGATGTGAGAATTAAGCGGTTAGGCGGTCAGTTGAAGACATGAGTGTATAGGAAACCTACACATACAGATCAGTATGTGAACTACCATTCCAACACCCCTCAACATGTCAAAAGGGCAGCCATCACAGCGCTGGTCAGAAGAGCAAAAAGGATTTGTGACCCAGAATACTTTCAACAAGAATTACAACACATCAAGAAAGTATTCTGCTTGCACAACAACTACCCTCCAGCCTTTGTACATCAAGATTTTCGATCCGTATTAATGGCAAAACCAACCAACCAACAGCCTAATCCCAACAGACCATCAACCCGCTTAGCTATCCCATTCATCGGAAAGGCATCATACCAAATCAAGAAGATCCTGAAAAAGTCAGTCGGCATTGAAACAGTGTTCTCTGGCAACTCAACGCTTAAAGATTTGCTCAGAGCCAGTGGTAAATTGAATCCTTCCAACAACCAAAAACCTAAGGGATGTGTCTACCAAGTTGAGTGCTCCTGTGGAAGCTCTTATATAGGGGAAACAAAGAGACCCCTTCATGTTCGACTCAAAGACCATCAAGACAAGCCCGGCAATGAAGGAACATCTGCTGTGGCTGAACATCTTGCTATGGGAAGGAAAACAGGACATAAAGTCAACTTTGACAACACCAACATACTGACAATCAATAAGCACATAGATAAAACCAGGAGACTTCATGAAGCTATCCACATCAGAAGATATCAGCCTGACCTTAACAGAGATGAAGGTGTTCGTTTATCGCATGCATATGATAAACTTATCAACTTGTAATTATTCATATTCAAACAATTTCCAACTTTAAGCATAGTTAGTTATATGAACAATGTAATTTCTATTAATAAAAGACTCCAATACCAGCAATAGTTGTTTATTTAATCTTCAATTAATCTTTTTTAATTCATTTACTTTATTTCTATTATTTGAATTAATCAGCCTGTATGTTATTTTAAGAATTATGTACCTCTTATTGTACCTGTTAAAATTTAATGTAATGTATCAATAAACCATTTATCTCTTGTGTGTTCTTAATAATAAGCATTAATGTATATATAGTTTGCCCATCACTTCTCATTATGTGCCTGAGGACGACGGGGGAAACACGTCGAAACGTTGCATAAAACTTTAACCAGTGATTGTTGTTCCATAAAGCTGTGTCTATATAATTCCAATTTAGTGGACCTGTGTTTGGAAAAGATAGCCTGTCAGTCAAGGTAATGTACGCCTTCTAGAGTGGCGTTTTAGAAAACAATAGGTGAGGGGGGTGGGGGAGCAATTATTTCACTATGTAAGTGAAATTTCGTGTGTTTACTTCCAACAGTTTACAGTTATTTGTCAAGTGATATTATTATTGCTATTTAAACGTCCCTTGCTTTAAAGCCTCTTGGAGATTATTCTGACACTTATTATATATCTAATGCTATATTGTATCTATTGACTGAGCAAAATATATTTTATTATCATTCTGGATCCATATCTTACGAAGTTTTTCTTATATTGACTTTTTTTAACCAATGCTTGTAGTCCTGTATACGACCAGCCACTGATGTTTGAACTACCTAATAACATGATTACGTGATAATCTGGAAATAGTTCCCGTAATATTATGGCTGCCATTCATTATCGTGATATGTTGCAATGCGGAACCTTCCCGGTAGACGTTTGTATTATGTAATGATAATGTGGAAAATGCTATGCCAATCTGAAATAGCAGACCTCCCCTTTCTTGGTAAAATTCGAGGGATATGTGTAAAATATTTCATAAGCTGATTGGACAAAGATGAAGTTAAAGGGACGAATGCGGCATTTCCGGAAGTATATCATACCTCGGAAACGTGAATTGTTCCGCCAAACTAATCAGTAATAATGTTCAAAGCTTACCGTCGGAGTTTGAGCCTTCAAATCAAAGTATATCCATAATTTCGGATACCCCAAAATTCAGAGAAAAGATAAGCTTGTGAACGAAATAAATAAAAAACCTATAGTTGTTTGAGGTCTATTTGAAGGAATTATGCGATTTTCGAACAGTTTTATTATTACTGAAAACTATTTACATATATTCTAGGTTCACATCAACCCGGAAACGCCACATCTGTCACTTTAAAACACAATTTCTTCGAGAACTTGCAATTATATTGAGACCATGATCTTTACATAATGAAGATTTCGAAAGCTGAAGCAAAAACTGAGATGTATGCTCTAACAATTGCTTTTTGATTCTAAACATTTACATTAAATATAAAAAGTGATATTTCAATTTTTTTGCCTTAAAGTATCATACGGTTTAAAAAGAAATAGG